TATCTCTTGGGGCATTAGACAGTGAGTAGGAATTTTTGGTTCTTGACCACTGGTGAAGGGAATGGTAGGTGAAATGCTATTGGCACCTCTGAGGAGAGACCAGGGATACCGCTAAAGGTCCTTGTAACAGCACCTGTGGTATTGGTTCTTGGGATACAGTGTTAGCTTAAATGTTCACTCTTAGACACTCCAGGGTTTTTTTTGTTGTTGTTGTTGTTGTTTTGTTTTTTTGACACTCTAGTTTGTTTCTGCAGTTAAAATCAGCTTTGTTTTGTGGTACTGGTGACTGAACCAAAGCCTTATATAGGCTCAGCAAATGCTCAGCTGAGCTATTTATTTTTATTTGATATAGGGTCTCACTATGCAGTTTGGACTCATAGTGATTGTCCTATTTTAGCCTCCCCAGTGCTGGGATTACAGGTGTGCTCCACTATACCTGGTTCGGGCTGGCATAGAGCCCAGGCTGGCACGTGGTGCTAGAGATCAAACTTGGGTCCTTGCACTTAACAGGCAAGCCCTTAGACTGCTCAACTATTTCCCTAGCCCTAGATTCTTTTTTATAGCAGTACTGGAGATCAAACACTGAACTATATTCCCAACCCTTATTTATTTATTTATTTTAGAGTTTTCATTTGTTTTTTGTGTGTGTTTTGATATAAGATCTCACTCCAGAATCTGTGCTAGCCTTGAGGTTCCCATGTAGTCCAGCCTAGGGTGGAACATACAACCTTCCTACCTCAGCCACGCATGGCTGGGATTACAAGCGTGTGTTAACTTTTCAACTCCAAAAGTAAACGTTTTCATATGTTCTCTTTTGAGACAAGTTTTCACTATACAGTTTGGTTGCCCTTGAACTCACTTTGTAGCAGAGGATGGTCTCTGAGTGCTGAGATTACAGGTGTGCTGGGATTATAGGCATGCACTGTGGCATCTGGCCTAAATTCTTTTTTTGAAACAGGCAAATGTATTTCAGGTTGGCCTTGTGCTCATTATGTAGCCTGGGCTGGCCTCAAATTCATGGTGATACTCCTGCCTCAACTTCCTGAGCGCTAGGATTATAATGTGTACTACCACACCCAACTCCAGAACCAAATTCTTATAAATTTAATATGGTGAGATACTTGTAGAGAAAGGAACTCATTAAAACATATCTTTGTGCTTCGTTTACTTAAATCATCTTTTCCTTGAATGTTTAATTTCCTTATGTAAACCTGCCTTTAATTTTATTTCTTAGTGTTTTATATTTTTATTGTCGAAATGATAATTTTTTACATTCTTATTATTCTTTGGTTTAGAATGCGTCAAGTTTGTATATTCATTTTATGATGCCATTGTGCTAATTATTTCTTTGATTCATGTCTTAATACATTGGCTAGAACTTTCAGTACAGCATTGAACAAAGACAGTGATTCAGAAACACAAGGACGCCATTTATTTCTGAATTAAATATGACATCATAAATACAGTCCTCTGGGCCGGGGAGATAGCTCAGTAGAAGGACCTGAGTTTAATCCCTGGTTCTGGAAAAAAAAAAAAAAAAAAAAAAAAAAACAGTCCTCTGATGGCCAGTACAGAGGAATTGAATTGTATTTATGACAAAGGATATTACTTGTTCAGGAAAGGGCCTCTCAGATGACAGTGTGATATTGCCTTAGTTCTTTAGTGTATGTGAATGAATGCCCTTAGGTATTTCTAGGGATATACCGAAGAAGTTCATTATCAGAATTGTCTAGAAATCTTAAAATACAGTCAGGGAAGATGTAGAACTAACATTTAAAATCATTTCTAGGTCTGATTTCTTCCAGCATCTATAAAGCAAAAATAGAAAGGAAAAGAATATCGGCTGTTTTCTCCCCCCCCCCCTTCTTAGAAATTGTCCTGATTAATCATAAATGGAACAGAGAAGTGAGATGTTTGTGCTGACTAGAGTAGATGCAACTCGAGCATGGAATTCACAGCTGCTGTCACCGGGTGCTGCTGGCTTATATAAATTATGAGTGAGTCCCTTCAAGACTTGGGCAGTTTTTCCTGCTGTGAAGAGGTGATCAGAGTGTGATAGGAGCATAATTACTTGGTGAACCCAAAATGAGATGTCATCTAATCCAGAGTACCACTGTGCCACACAGAATATGTCTGTGTTTATTTTTTATTGCTGTTGCTACTTTTGTTCTCTGGCATTATCCATATTTTTGGTGTCAGTATGAGGGCATCTAGGAGTATTTTATTGTATGCAGTGAAGACATTTAGAGTTGTCTGCTATATGCTATAGAACCTATGGATGGAATGGAAATGTATCAGTTGACCTCAAATTGAAATAGTAAATATCATCCTTACTCTTAAATTCTGGAGAATATAACAGAAGTGGCTAAATCCTCTTTTTTTTTCTCTCTGCGGTACCAGGGATTGAACTCGGGTCCTTGTGCTTGCCAGGCATGTGCTTATCCTACTGAGCTATCTCCCTGGCCTCCTAAATCCTGACTAGAACTGTGTTATCCATTATTTCAGAATATCCATCTGTCTATTTTTATGAAAAGTACATTTATTTTCTTAATCTGACTCCCCCCACCTTACCATACCCCCAGGCTTGCAACACTCTCAGCCACTGTATAATTATTTTTATCATTACTATCTTTCTTACCTTCATTATCTTATATAAAATGTATTTTTTCAAGATACAAAGAGTGTAATGGTAGACAAAGGTATGAAAATTGAAATCCTTTCGCATTTGTTAGGCCTTGCTCTCCGCTTGTGCTGTTTGCCCTTGAGTAACTGTCCACCCTGACAGCAGTGGCTGACTTGGGGGCCTGCAGATGGGGTGGGTCCGACTCTGTCTCCTCCGGGGTGAGTCCCATAGCCTGGGTTTGTCAGTCATCAGGGAATTTCTTGTAATGTCAGTCAGTATGAGGTGTCTTCTTTGGCATCACAGACACTGTGATCTGAACCAAAACAAAGCCCAGATGATTACTCCTATCAGGGAGCTCCTAGCCTAGTAGAACCAGCAGCTATAGAGCAGAATTCCTGTTGATCCACAAGTCTGTTTGCTTTCTTTCTTTTTTTCTTTTTTAATGTATTTGGTTTCAGGGTCTCACTACACAGCTCAGTTGGGATTCATAGTGATCCTCCTATTTTCAGCCTTCCCAGAGCTGAGATTACAGGTGTTGTGCCAGCATGCCTGGTCTCAGTGACTGACTCAGTGCACCCCAGTGTGGGGCCGGCACAGCATGTGATGCCAGAGATTGAACCCTGCTCCCTGCACTTGTCAGAGCAGGCCCTTACCCGCTGAGTTATCTCGCTGGCTGACCCTACAAGTGTGTTTTCAGTTACTGTCCTTTGTTGTCTGGTCAGTTCTACCCAGAATAGTTATGCCTTTTTGTGGGATGTGCTAGAACAAACCAGCCTGTGTTTTGATTCCTTGCCTTGGCTCATCTTCTGTTTGAGCACTTTCTTTCTGTTAATGCCTCTGTTGGTATAGCTCACAGAAATCTACCCTGTACAACTTCTGGGTCGCTGGGATTCCTGAATCTTTTTTCTTTGCCCTGTTGTCACTGTCACCTTTTCAGGTCCTCATTACTTCCAGGTAGAGCTTTTAGAAGAGTTTCATACTTCTGATTTCATTAGGTGTCTGCAGAGCAAATTACATATCATTGGTAAGTATAATGTTTGAGGTATTGTTTTGGTCTGGTTAACTCCCTTACTTAAAAGGCATGGTCTTGGGGCCGGGGAGATGGCTCAGTAGAATAAGCACTTCCCTGGCAAGCAAAAGGGCCTGAGTTCAATCCCTGGTTCTGCCAAAAAAAAAAAAAAAAAAAAAAAAAGCCATATCTTGTCACTGCCTCTAAATAAAACCTGTTCAGAAAATTACTACACAGTGAGTGGTATGTTTCTGCAATCCTAATTATGTGGGAAGCTGAAGCAGGGGATCATTAGTTCAAGGCCATCCTGGGCAACTTACTGAGATCCTGTCTTTTAAAACAATAAATAAATGTAAAAGAAAAGAAAACCTATGTACAATGTTCAGTGATAGGTTTAGATTCCTTGTCTCTTAGTGATTTCTTCTCATTCCCCTCCCTTATCATCCTCTAGACAAAATGTGCTGTTTTTTTCTGTCTCATTTTAATATCCCATGAGTTTGTTTATAGTTTCAATTTAAAGTTCCCCTCTTGTGCCAGTATGTTCATACCTTCCTCAGTTCTTGTTTTTCTTTCTTGGTGGTACTGAGGAATGAAACCTGGGCCTCACATGTTCTAGGCAAGTGCTATAGTGCTGAGCTACATTTCCAGCCCTTTTTATTTTACTGTATACTTTATTTTAATTTGGGGAGGGTACAAGATATCAAATTCCGGACCTTGGACTTGCCAGGCAGGTACTTATGCTGCTGAGCCATCTCCCCAGCCCGTTCAGCCCTTTTTATTTGGAGGCAGGGCCTGCCTAAGTTGCCTGGCGAGCCTTTGAACTTTGATCCTGCTATCCCAGTTTCCTGTATGTCTGGGATTACAGGAACATAGCATCATGCCACGCTCATAATCATCTGTTCTTAGTAGAAATGCTACTACCGCCTTCATCATGTTGTTTCCTAACTAGCCCAAGAGTACTTCTCTAATCTTCAGATTCTTTCAGCCACATTTATGTTTCTTTGACATGTCTTTTGTATCATTTACTCTGGTACTTAGATTTACTGTAGCTGAAGCATCTTGTGGCAGGCAGGCTTGCTACTTCATCTTCATATTCCTTTTGTGGAGTCTTCATATTCCTTTTGTGGAGCTCTGTGCATCACCACACAGGTACTCACCACATGTATGCAGATGTGAACACCATGTGGTTGGCTGGTTATGGTACCATCAATGCTCACTTTATCAGGTGTTGTATGTCTGCTGTCTGAAAGAATGTAACAAAATTATGATCATTTACTGTACGTTAGAGCATTTCTAATTCCAAGTCATCAGCTGTCTGTGATGGTGTGTCCTGTGTAACAGTATTCCATTTCCTCTGTTCTTGGGCAGGAGAATCAGATGAGAGGGAACAGTCGAAATTGGAGGTTAAAGTTTGGGATCCAAATAGCCCACTTACGGACCGACAGATTGACCAGTTTTTAGTTGTAGCACGGTGAGTATGGAATCAGTGAATCAAGAGATGTTTCTATGATATAATTTATAGGTGTATGTATTTTTTGTTCTTTGTAGTTTACCACCAGGTTCATTGTACTATTCTTTTTCTAATTATAAAAGAAAGCTTAATATCATGTATGTCACATCATTTCCTACAAATAGAATTTGTTATCAATATCAATACATTAGTTTTAAATGAAAATAGATTTCATTTTTACTGAATACCAAAAGCAACAGAAATTTTTTCACTTTATAGTGTAGACTAACTTTGCACTCACTGTGTCTCCAGGCTGGCACTTGAACTTGCAGCCATCCGCCTGCCTTAGCTTCCTGACTTGTTTCGTTGTTTTGCAATGGGGTTTCTCTGTGCAGCCAGGTTGGCCTTGAACTTGCCTTGTAGCCCAGGCTGGCTTTGAAATCATGGTCTTTTTGCTTTAACCTCCTGAAAATAGAAGTGTACAGTGATGAAATTCTGCATCTCAAATGCCATGTATTAAGTGGTTTCCTGTGCTTTGGATAGAGCTTTCCTGGACTGAATTGTACCGGTTACGTACTGAAGTGTGCCGGTTAGGCTCTCCTCACGCCTGCGTAAGACGTCTTGCCACACCTGGTGCTTTCTTCGAGCGCTTGCAGCCTTACTGACTTACTTTGTTCCCCTCTTTTCTTATCAAAATGAATGGGAATTTTATTTTTATTTTTTCAATTATAAAATAAAATAATTTTCATAGGGAAAAGTGCCACAAAGCATAAAGCAAGGGACGTATCATAATATAATGATAGATAGACTGGACAAAGCCCAGAACTGCTTCAGGAAGCCATTGATGGCAGAATTGAGGTATACGTGTATAATGGTATTTTACTATAGAGCAATTAAGTAGCAAGTAGATTAGTGCTCTGTGTAGCAAAGAGATAAATCTCAGAAGTATTGCCAGTGAAGGTATGTTCAGAATGATTTATAAACATAAAATGTGATCATGTATAAGGTTTTACATTGCGTAAAACAGTGCTTTATCATTAATGGACATGTTTATAAAACAACGTTCATGAATATTTAATCTTGGTTGTATGTATAGGGCTGTAATTAAATTGATAATTATATACTTAAAAAACGTGCCAGGACAGGATGTAGTGGCTCAAGCCTGTAGTCTCAGCACTCTGGAGGCAGAGGCAAGGATTGCTGTGTTTTCGAGGCCAGCCTGAACTTTGAGATCTTCTCCTCCCCCAGCCCCCTGTAATCAGACATGGCAAAATATTATAGTCATTAGATCTGGACAGTGGGTGCAAAGGTCTCCATCATAATATTCTGATTTTTCTAGTGAACTTTTTGATAATCCAAAGGAAAACCAGTCTTAGCCGATCCTTGGACAGCCCATTTGTAGAGACAGTTACTGTGGAGGGCTGCACCGTGCAGGTAGCCCGGAGTTCCCAGGTGAGAGGGCTGAGGTGAGAGGGAGTGAGAGGGCGTGGGCCTGGCTGCCCTGTGCCTTGGTGGGAGGAACCTGCTCGCAGAGCTTGCAGCCTGCCTAGCTCACTTCTGCCCTCAGGGCGCTTGGTTTGAGGACAAATTTAGCAACATTTTGTTTTCTGAAGATTTGGGAATAGAAACAAATTATAGGAGGAAGCCCTGGTTTAGAGACTCCAGAAAGGTTTCTGAATTAGAGATTGTTTAGGGAGAGTGAAGTTTTCAGGTTTAAGTCGCATTCTGTGTTTTTCCTTTTTGTGATTGCCAGGGATGTGTTTTCTTTTTCCTTGAAGCTAGGATGAGGGTTATAGGTTATGTATCATGTATCCCCCCCATATTTGTTTATAAAAATAATCTTACAAATGTCAGTTTTGTTTATTTTGCTTTTGGGGACAGGGTCTCATTATATAACCCACTATGTTGAATTGCCTGGAGATTCGCCTATCTCAGCCTCCCAAGTGTGGGATTATTGGCCTGTGCCAGCACCACTGATCAAGACCAACTTTTTTTTTTTTTTTTTTTTTTTGAGGTATCAGGGATTGAATTCTGGACCTTGAGCTTGCCAGGGAAGCACTTAAGCTGCTGAGCTATCTCCCTGGCCCCCTACTTTTATTTATTCGTCTGTGGTTGTTTTTTGAGATAATATCTTCTTGTGTAATTCAGGGTGGCCTTGAACTCAATATCTCCCACCAGGCTCACTATCCCAGGATAGCCTCGAGTCTCAGCAATCTTCCCATCTCAGCCTCCCAGGGCTGGGGACTGTAGGCATGTGCCACTCTGGAAAGGCCAAATTTTAAAGTGCCAAGGAGTAGTGAACCTGTGAAACAATCCACATTCTCCACCTACCTGATGGGCCTATAAACTCATTCACCTGCTTTGGCAGACTGTTGACAGATTTGTGGAATCCTTGGTTCAGAGTTCATGGCCTTTGAGTTCATGACCTCAGTCCTCAGGTTTTTCCTTAGAATCTAAATAATAATTGTTCACAGAAAGGGTTTCTTGGAAACTGCAAGTATCATCTGCAGTCGTCTTTCTTTGCTGGAAGGTTTGCAAGTAGCCAGGTTTTCTGAGCATATCTGAAACTGGAGGGTTTTTTTTGCAGTTCACTGGTGCTCTAGGAACGTAACCCTATGAATTTTGGGGATCTCCTGTACTGTTATTTAATGCACATGCCTTGAACCTCATTTTTAAAATTATGCTCACAAAAATACATCTTGGGCTGGTGAGATGGCTCAGTGGTCTAAAGCACCTACTTAGAACAAGCTTAGCAAAAAGCACAGGGACCGCGGTTCAATCCCCCAGCACCACATGCCAGCCAGCCCCGCCCCCTGGTGGGCTGAGCTGGCCACACACACACACACACACACACACACACACACACTAAATAAATAGTGCATATATCTTTGTACCAGAAGTACTGCTCGTATGCCATTGGTGGCGTCATTTGTGGAAACAGCCTATAATATTGATCAGCAGTATAGGAGGGGGTGGAAAGTGTGCACCCCAAATGCCCCACAGCAAGGAAAATGAGTGCAGCTCCATCCGACAACATGGATGACCCTGCAAACATAATGTTAAACTAAGGAAGCTGGACATTAGAAGTGGTGTCTGTATTATGTGAGAGAAAAATTTATTTTAATGTGAGTGAAATTAGTATGTGGTGTTAAGATCCAGAATACTGGTTCCTGTTGAGAGGGAAGCTGAGTAGAAATTGGGAAGGAATGGGAGGGGGTTCTGAGACTAGTTGTCTTCTGTGGCTAGACCTGGATGTTGGTGGCCTGAGGGCGCTTGCTTTGTGATTAACTATACACGGTGGTAGTTTCTTGTGTATGTTATTTAAAATGCTAAAAGTACCTCCTGATCTACCATGGGGACAATAAACAGTGAGTCTCATCTTTTTTTGCTGTGCCTGTTGAGGGTGAGGTGCAGCTCTACATTATAGGAAGGCCTAAGTTGCTATAAATGAAAATTAGCATTGTGTAAGTTCTTTTTCTTTTAAAAATGAGATTTAATAGTTTATGTATTAAATGTTCATAAGAAGGGATTGCTAGTTAGTGATACCTTACGCTAAGGGAAAAGTGTGCCTAGGGAAAAGGGAGTCACAGCTTGTAGCGATTTTGTTTTGTACCATGGATCAAACTCAGGACCTTAAGCTTGCCAGGCAGGTGCTTATGCTGCTGGGCTATCTCCCTGGCCTTCACTTGCAGTTTTTTTGATCAAATTTGATTACTGAATGATTTACTCAGTAATATTTCTAATAGATCTTCCCTTTCCTCCTTTATGTCCATACAGGTTATTTTTCTCGATTTAGTTAAAATTAACTCTACAGGTAGTAAATTGACTTGCCAATTACAGGATAATGTCCCTTCTCTGAAGTGCTTGGGACCAAAAGTGTTTCAGACCTCAAGTTTTGGAGTTTGGAATATGTGCATACACATAATTAGATACCTTGGGGATGGTTGCCACATCTAAATGAGGGAACTGCTTATGTATAGCTTATTCATGTAGGTAACTTTGCAATGTTCTCAGTAATTTTGTCCATTAAGCTAAGCTTCAGGACTTGGAGCTTTCCACTTGCTTCCTGTCAGCAAGATTTTGCTTTTGATTTTCACATTGTGATTGTTCAACCCATATCAATTCTTACAGAAAAAACCCAGTTCTCATTTGATCCTCAAGCATCCAACGAGTTGTTTTCCCTTTCTTTTTCAGTTTTTATTCAGTATCTGAAGTTATTTTTTAAGACAGAATGACAAGCTTAATGTCTCCTCTTGTGTTTGGTTTCTTCAGTGCTGTGGGGACCTTTGCACGAGCCCTCGACTGCAGCAGCTCTGTGAGGCAGCCGAGCCTGCACATGAGCGCTGCCGCTGCTTCCCGAGACATCACCTTGGTAAGATGTTTTTCAATTTTGAGGTTTTGCTTTTGCTACTTGTTTAATTTAAAAACCATTCTAGCTGGACATGGAGGCTGAGGCAGGAGGCTCGCCACAAGTTCAAGGCCAACCTCCATACATGACAAGGCCTTGTTTCCAAAAACAAAAGAGAAAGCAAACCAACCATTACAGAAATACTGTGGACTTGAGGTCTTCCTGGCTCTTAGCCCTGCTGAGTACTTGGCTGATTTTTTCGAATAATTGGTTAACTGGGTTCCTAAGTGACTATTTATTGTGGGATGAGATTAAGAAGACTGTTTCATGAAGTAGGTATAAAGGGGATTAAGGCAATTTGGGGGGCATTCAGTTCACTATTCTGACATGCCTGCCTTCAGGTTAGTGCTTGTTTCCTATTAGATATCATGTTTTACTTTTATGTCCATGCAATCACGTTTTGAAACTATTGCTGTTGTAGTTATTCTGTCGTATTTCAGTGTTTAAAATGTCAATGTGGAAAGTTGTGTGTGATTAGATCAGAAAGAGGTTCTCCTTTATTATGTGATTGCTTTGTGGGTGTGTCCTCTAGTTCTGTCTCCCTTTTCCCTGGGTGGTCAGTTAGCCCTCCTTTCCTCAGCGTGGCCTTCGCCTCTGTCAGCTGTGCTGCATATTGCCTTAGCTCATTTTTCTTTCTCTGCACTTCAAAGAAGTGTACCTGTGGGTCAGTTGAAGTTATTTATTTGGTCCCCATAACCTTTTGTAAGAGGCATGGTGGGGTCTTTGTTTTACAGAGAAAACTGAGGTTTGGTGAGGTGAAGCTCCTTGAGTGGTGCTCGGTCCATATAACAAGCAGTCTCAGTCTGTTTTCTGACAGAGTTGGGGCGCAGCAGTGGGCGTTATTACTTCACGGCTGTGCTCCAGCTTGAGGCGCTCTTTATAAAATGCTGGCAGTGAAAGTGCATACCAAAGTGCGTTCACTTTTTATACTGAGTGTGTTACATTCTGTGCATTAAGGTGTGCATTTCACACCACTGCAGACTGATGAAAGCATGAGTGGTCTGTAGCTATTATCACACATCCCTCTCTGTCCTTTCTCAAAGACTAGAATTCTTTAGTATAAAACATAGTCCTGTTTTTTCTGTTGCTATATTAATGCCAAAAGTTCAGGAGTTCCAAAATCAGTTTACATTTTAGTTATTTACAGCTGAGAGGGTTTTTCCACAGAGAAGGAGTCATCTGAGCACAGCACGTTATAGCAGTAGGCGTCCAACAGCTTTTTAAATTTCTTTAAAGTTTTTTGAAACTAGGCCTTGCACTATAGCCCAGGCTGGCCTCGAACTCTCAGCAGTCCTCCTGTCTCAGCCTCCTTAGTGTCGGGGTTACAGATCTGTGCCCTCAAGCCCAGCTGACTAACAGCTTGTCAAGGCCTCCTGCTGTAGAGGGCAGAGGGCAGAGGGGATGGCCCGACACTGCTAGGACCCTGCACCCTTTCTCGGTGGTTTGCCTGGTGGCTTTTACTGAAGAACTGCATGGGCTTGCTGACTTTTGCAATTCAACACTTGTTTAGCTAAGGAACCTTATCTTACTTGTCAAATTACCAGCAGTATTTCGGGAACAGGTAATTTGTACATCGTTAGTTCTAACTTCCCCATTTTGATGTCTGTTATGAATGCTGCTTAAATATGAATTTCAAATACTGCTAATCTATTTAAGATTTGTAATTGTTAACATTGAAGCCTTAGAGTCTTCATAGTTTTGATCTTGTTTTCTTAAAACAGAAAGTATATTTTGTACAACATGCACAGGGAGAAAAATCACCCCATCTGTAGTCCCTAGGACAGCAATATCAAATGTTTTCGAGACAAGCACCCAAACTACAACCCAAACCCCACCTATTTATTGCAAAGTCTCATTACTGTGATTAAACCAGATATTGAAGTTCTAACTAAGAAAAAACTCATACCTTTAACATCTTTTGTTATAAAAGAAAAATAACCCATGTGGTATAGATATGTCACCACTGGTCTAGAATAAAAGAAATGTTGAACTAGTACCTAGACATGCTTTGCTTAATGACAAATATACGTCCTGACAAAAGTGTATTGCTAGGCCATTTTGTTGTTAGACGACATATAGAATCACACAAACCGAGATGGCTGTGACTGAAACGTCAGGTATAGTGCCTGACTGGAGCTGCTGCAGGCTTTAACCTGTGAGTCCCATTCGGTGGTGTTGACCAGGAGGCCTACACTTCGTGGGGGGAGCAGCGGCATGAGCAGCGCAAGTGACCTGCTGTTGGACCCCAGCTTCGGGCCTGGAGAGTTGGGTGTGGGCTTTTTTTTGGCCAGGACTCTGAGCATGCAATCATTTTGGGGATACAATAAAAGAAAAAGAGGTACTTTCATCGTTTGTAGCCTTCAGGGTCTAGCATAGACTGTTGTACAGGTGATGAGCTCAAATCAGAACTGCAGTGTCAGGCCCCAGAATTTAGGCTTCCTGATGACAAGTGTGATTTCCAGAAAGGCCAGCCTGCGGTGTGCAGTAGGGTAGAATGTACATCACAGAACATCTGTAGTTCAGTACCATGTCTGTTCTTCAAAAACTTCTAAACAGCGTGTGGGAATACAACAAACCTGTAAACACGACTAGCCCTGCCTTTTGATGTAATTGACAAGGAAATGACAGAAAGATTTAAAGTGATTGAACAAACTTAAGTTTTATTTCCATGATTATCTTTCCTTGGAAACAAACCATAGTTTTTATAATAAAAATTTTCCCATTGACAATAATGTAGAAAAACTACTTTTTCTTTTAAGGGAATATTGATTTAACCAGCAATACTCAGTTAGTAAGTTTTGTAGAAATGTTGGCATTAGTCATGTACTTAATTATGTTCATTCATGAGTCCTATTCAAAGCACACATCTTTAGAGCCTTGCGGGTATTGGAAATTTTGGGGTAAATTTGTTTATTTATTTATTTGGATTTTTTGAGAGAGGGGCCAGGTTGGCCTGTAACTCCCAGCAATTCTCCTATCTCAGCTTCCTGAGTGTTGGGATTACGGGTGTGTGCTAGCATGTCTGACCCGAGGATAGTTTAGAAGACATATAGAATGTATAAATCTTTTGATTAGCAGTTTAGATACTAATATGAAATCTGGACTTCAAAGTAAACAGATAAAATGAAAATTTTTATAAAGTTAAAAATCTTATTCTCCTAAAATGTATGATGTTACTCATATTTGCAAATGGTAAAACTAGTATTAATGTCTTCTGCTTCAGCGAGCACTAGAAAGCATATAATTTTTTTCCTGCTAAATAAATCGTTACAGCCATAGCTTTTTTTCTTGGTCTGATACAGATGAGCTTGGGGTACTGCCCACGCCCAGGAGGATTGCCTGTTTTTCCATCTTTCTCTCAGATCTAAGTATGAATACGTGTTTTTTGAGGGGGATAACTACTGTCCTTTCCTAATTTTTTTGCTTGTAATTCTACACTAATACATGGAACCTCAGACAATAACTATAGATTTGAACAATGAAAAAATTTAATAACTTGTCTAGGTTTATTGTTGAGATTTGGATTTATAAACATGATATAATGATAGCATGTGGTTATAATTTCTTAAAACTTACTGTCTTCGTATTTTGGTATAATACAAAAATAGTACAGAGAATTGCTGTGATCCCTTCAATTGTATTGCCCAGTTGTTACATTTTATTGCTTGTTTCATCATCCTTTATGTCTATTGTGGAGAAGCAACAAAAGACAAAATTGCAACAAATTGCAAGGAGAGTGGCTTCCATTTACATCTCTAGAAGGTTCACCACTTCAGTCTGTAAAATAGTGATTATTCAGATAAGCTGAACCTGAGCTGGCTTTATGGCTCGGAAAGGACTGAAGAAACAGCGAAAAACAAGATACATCTCAGAAGTTACATTCCTTACATTATTAAAGAAGTTGGGGTTTCATTAAGTGCACGGGTAACTGGGCCCCTTCTGTGTGGTGACTGAATCTCCTGATCAGTTAGACTAATGACATTTGGCCCAAGTGACTCCATTTGGCCCATTGGAGTGTAGGGTACAGCTTTGCCCAAATATATATAATGGCTTCCCATAATTTTTTTTTTTTTTGGTATGGGGGATCGAACTCGGGTCTTTAAATTTGCTGGGCAGGTGCTTATGCCACTGAACTATATCCCTGTCTCTAAACTTTGACGTTATACAGAATCTGTTTGTTTTTGAGGCAGGGTCTTGCTGTGTAGTCCAGGCCAACTTTCAACTTACTATGTAGCCTAGGTTGGCCTTGAACTGGTTGTAATTCTTATGCCTCTGCCTCAGCTGGGATTTTTTTTTCCCCCAAGTGCTAGGATTATGGAGCACTATTACACCCAGTTTATTTACATATTATTGTTTCTGATCAGTTTAAGAGTACGTTTCAGTGTAGTTGTCCCTTTATCGCTATTTGTGGGGATATTTCATTTAAAAAAAGTATGGTACAGTTGTCAGAGGTTCAGGAAAATGGGCATTGTTGTGATGCCTCCTTAAAAAAAAAATTGGGGCTAGAGAGATAGCTCAGCAGTCAGTCTAAATGCCTGCCTGGCAAGCGCAAAGCCCTGAGTTAGATTCCTGGTACCATATGCTGTTCCGGCAAGCAAAACCTGGTGTGGTGGCACATGCCTGCAATCCCAGCACTGTAGAGGTTGAGATAGAAAGATCACTATGAGTCTGAGCTGTGTATCGAGACCCTGTACCAAATCAGTCTATATTTAAAAGAAAAAGTAGTTTTGTGGTTTTTTTTAATTGTTATAATAAAATTGACACAGCTTTATACTCAGGTTTACTGGCTCTCCTAGTAATGCTTTGATAGCATAAGAGAAAGAATTCTGATCTAAGATTTTCTTGTCAATAATTTAAGACATTTAGTTGCTGATTTGCCATAATCTCTTTCATTCCTGAATGTTTCCTTAGCCTTATCGTTGTAGTTCATTATTGCAGTTTTATATGTATCATTTCCTATTTCA